TGTAGTGAGAGCAGAGAGTAGGTGGAGGAACACCTGGAAAGGTGGAGGTCTGCTCTGGAAAGAAGAGGAATGAAAGTCAGTTGTGGTAAGACAGAATACATGTGTATGAACAAGAGGGAGGGAAGTGGAACAGTGAGGTTACAGGGGGCTGAGGTCAAGAAGGGGCAGGAGTTTAAGTATTTGGGGTCAACAGTCCAGTGTGATGGGAGTGTAGGAAAGAGGTGAGGAGGCGAGTGCAGGCAGGTTAGAGTGGGTGGAGAAAGGTGTCAGGAGTGTTGTGTGACAGAAGAGTGGCAGCACGAATCAAAGGAAAGGTGTACAAGACAGTAGTGAGACCAGCTATGGTGTATGGGTTAGAGACTGTAGCAGTGAGGAAAAGACAAGAGGCAGAGATGGAGGTAGCAGAGATGAAGATGTTGAGGTTCTCTTTTGGAGGGACCAGGATGGACAGGATTAGGAATGAGCACATCAGAGGGACAGCTCAGGTTGGCTGTTTTGGGGACAAGGTCAAATTACAGTATCTTGAGAGCACGGCTCTGGCCTATTTAATGAAGTCAGCTCAAAGCAGAAGTTGTTTAGCGCACAGACTCACTTCTCCCTCTCCCTCATTTGACTGTGTACAGTAGTATGTGGGAGTTGGCTGACCAGCATTAGTTCTCCAGGGTGCCAGCAAACTCTCCAACAGGGCAGGGAGCCAGCTCAAAATAAATAAATGTCCTTTTACAGCCAAGAAATTTTGAGGACCTCTAGCTCTTTTAGCAGGCAACTGCAGAAATTTTGGGGGTGACTCAATGACCACTTTTAAAAATAAATGTCAGTCTACACACAATACTTCATAATGGCAAAGTGAAAACAGTTTTTTGGAGTGTTTTGTAAATTCATTAAAAATAAAAAACAATTCTATTTACATAAGTATTCACTTAGTACTTGGTTAATAAAGCACCTTTGGCAGCAATGACAGGACTCTGGCTGGGCCACTCCAGGACCTTAATAGTTTTTCTGGAGCTAGTCCTGTGTTTTCTTAGCAGTATACTTTGGGCCAGTGTCTCGTTGAAATGTAAACCTTCTCCCCAGCCTGAGATCCTGAGCACTCTGGAGAAGGTTTTCATAAGGAATTGCTCTATATTTTTCTGCATCCATCCTTCCCTCTATCCTGAGTAGTCTCCCAGTTCCAGAAAAACCTCCCCTCAGTGTAATGCTGCCACCATGTTTGACTGTAGGGATGGTAATAATGAGGTCATGCTCAGTGTCTGGTTTGGTTCACACATGCTGTTGGAAATTGTGGCCAAATAGTTCAGTCTGTTTCATCAGATTAGAGGATTTTGCTTCTCATGGCCTGAGAGTCATTGGGGTGGCCACTCTACCATGGAGGCCTGGCTGGTGGAGTGCTGTGCTGATGATTGTCCTTGTATAAGGTTCTCGTGTCTCCATATAGGAAGTATGGATTTCATTCATAGTGGGTTCTGTCTGACTAAAGCCCTTTGTCCCCGATTACTTCATTTGGCTGGGCAGCCAGATCTATTTAGACTGCTGGTGGTTCCAAATCTCTTCCATTTGAGAATGATGGAGGCTACCATGCTCTTGGGCACTTTCAGTGCTGCAGAAATTTTATTGTATCCTTAACCCAGATCTGTCTTGCAAAGGCATAAAGGCCAGTAACACTTGCAGTGCATAGAGCAACTTTAATGTTAAGACTAATGCATTTCATGACTTTCTGAAAAAGGCCACAAGTCAAAATGCTTTGACTGCAAGTGTTGCTAGACTCTTTGCCTTTCTGGTTTGGTTTGCCCTCATCTATGCACTTTGGTAGTGGGTAGAGTTGTGCCAGAAGTTTCTGTTTTGCCCAGATCTGTCTTGACACAATGCTGTTTAGCAGGTCTACAGGCAATTCTCTTGACCTCATGCCTTTGTTTTCACTCCGACATACACCATTCTGCCTTTCCTAATTATGTCCAGTAAAGTAAATTATGCACAGGTGGATTCTAGCCAAGCTGCAGAAGCATCTCAAGGGCTATTGATAGGAGTAGGATGCACCAGAGCTCCATTGCAAGTGTCATAACGAAGGGTCTGAATACTTTTGTAATTGGGATATTTGAGTCTTTTATTTTTAATAAATTTACAGAACACCCCAAAAACCTGTTTTAATTTTGTCATTGTGAAGTATAGATTGATGAGGGGAAAAAATTACTGAATCAATTTTAAGATAAGTCTGAAACATAAAATTTGAAAAACTTGAAAGGGCCTAAATATTTTTGTATCCACTGTAGTTCGGTTGGTTCATCACTCCTTTTACATTGTCAGTTATAAAAATATTGACAATCACTTTGTATTATTACTATGAAGAGTAACAAAGGAAAAACCTACTCTGCAGTTTTATTATACTGACTGATTATTAGACTAAAGTTTCAAACATGAGCAAAATGTTTTTGAAAAGTTCTAGAAGGAGCTAAACTAATGCAGGAAATAACTGTCAGACATAATTGCAGTAGATGGAAGCAAAAATGCACTATGAGAGGCCACCCCTTACTGTATTGCTATTATACAACTCCATGTGCCCATCTGCTGGCTGTTAGTGGGTCTGCCTTGATGTCACCTTTTGGTACAGTGAGGATCTGATCTGCAGATGGTGAGAAACTGACAAAGACCAACAGTAAATCAACATATAATAAAACTGTTTATTCAAAAGCATCCAAAGGACAGTCCTTTTTCATAGCTTACAAACATCTGGTATACGCACAAAAAGGAACAAAGTGGATGAGAATTTTACAGAGAAATATGATACTTAGAGGCAAAATAAAAACCTTGATTGGCAAAATGAGATATCAAAATATGGCCACCTGTGAGGAACCTGCCATGCTCTAGCCTGAGCACCATTCTCTGTAAAAGTGAAATGCTCAGACAGTGCTAAAAGGAGGGCCCACCTGTGCTATAATTCATCTCAAGCATTAAGACTGTTTGCTTCATAAGCTCACACTGAAAGTTATTTTCTCACCTCCCTTTGACACCGATTTAAGAAATGAATCATTATTTATACAGTCTAAAGCTTAGTTCAGCTTTTCTCGTCGAAGCTACTGTTTAATTTGAAAGTAGTTTCACATCAGTTAACTTTGGGGCTTATGTAATGTCAGCCTCTTTACAGTTCAGTTATAGCATCATCATGAACAGCAAAAAAAAGTGTACATTTTCACATTTATAGAAATCTGGAAATCAGTGCGCACACACACATGGCCAAATGCTGTATATTACCAGCATTTTCTGAAATACTTAGGATTGTGCCCCACACATAAGTACCAAGTTATTCGCTACTTGTAGAAACTAGATTTGGCATCACACTTAAAGGTAGGGTTGGTTCTTTTCACAAGTCTTTGTTGCATATCTTGAAGTTCTCTTTTCATCTCAATGGTAATGAAGACACTAAATGCAGTGACAACCTAAAGAAACATCTGTTCTCTCTGACAGCAGCAGGACTGAAAAAAGTCCTGACCAACTTGGTACGAGCAAAACCACTAGATGGCCTACCTGCTTGTCAACCTACTTCCTACTTGTGCACACTGTATGCACAAGACCAGGTAGGCAGATGTGTTACTGCTCTGTTTTGATAACTAAAGCCAGCGAGCTATGGCAGAGAAGGTATAAATTATCAGTTTTGTTTTGTTTGTTGACATTTATTTTCTTGAAATCAGTAGTAGTCAGGCAGTGCACGCTGCACTGCACATTGTTTTGGAGGACTGGCTTTAGAGAGAAGTCAGAATGAAAGGGTGGGATTTCTTTGGATGTCTACTTTCAAAATCAAGCATCGTCTTCCTGGTTTTTCCAGGATTGTCAACCCTACCTTTAAGGAGGCAGTGTAGGCTTCAAACTGAAATGTAGCAGCATGATTTTAAACAAATTTAAACAAAGACCATACAGACTCAATGACATGATCAGACACTTTGGAAAACAGAGTCCAGCAACACCTGCAGTTTTAAGAGCACCTCTAATGTAAAGAAGAGACCCTGCTGAAACACACTGATCTTTACATTAAGGTTACTCATAACACTGCAAGTGTTGCTAGACTTTTTGTTTTTCCCTTGTTTGTGCACCTTTACAGTGGGTGGAGTTGTCAGACATTTCTGCATGATCAGATGCTTTGCCAGAAGCTTCTGTTTTCACAATCCTGACACTTGCTAAAGTGTCACATTAAACAGTTTCCTCAACATCTCAGGTTACATGACAAGGTAGTAATGGAGATCATTCTGATATCACAATGGAACCCAATGTGGGGAGTGAGCAAGAAGGTCTCATTGTCTCATGAGAAAGAGGTGTAGGAATACTACACTAGACATGTTCTATTCAATTTTCAATCAGGCAGTGATGTTTAGCAGAAAATGCCATGGTATAAGGTAAAGCTAGCAGTTGTGGTGCCAAGGATCTGGTTTTGAACATGGCTGGTACTGGTTAACAACTGACTGGTAAAAATGAAATGTTACAAACAAAAAAAAAAAAAAATACTATTAACAGTCTTTTTTCTGTTCCAACAGCATTAACCTATTAAGCAACGACTGACATCATAAAGCAGACAACTAAACAGGACATTTCAGTCACTGCACTTCATTTTGGTAAGACCAATCTTCTGGTAAGGCTGGCGTATTTGTTTTTACATTCATGGGAAGGAGACTGTTAACTAAGTACCACTTCATACCACTGGTGTGACCACACCATGGCACGAGTCACACAAGACACACATTACTTTTACAATCAAGCTAAGAAAGGCACTGGAATATTGTTATATACACATTAGATTCTTAAGCATTCAGTTCCATCTTGAAAAAGTTAAAAATCTAAAAATCTTTTGTTGGACATAATTTTTGAAAAATAAAGTTTGACATACTTAGAAAACTTTTTTGCACCATTGACTCATTTTAGCAAGGACAGTTTACAAAAAGAAATTTGCTATTTAAAAAAAAAAAGAAAAGATTATGGCATTTTGGTTATCAAATGAGTATCTGACTATTTACACACAGCTTTTCTAAAAACATGAAAACTAACTATGATTTTAAGATAAGAAATGTATGAGTCCTTATGGCAGAAACGTTAGACTTTTAGAAGTTTGTTGAAATGCTTCACAGATCTGCTACAAAAGCAGAAATGTTTGTGGCCCAAAAAGACAAAAAATACATTTGTGCTTTGTTGATAAATACTAGCAGAAGGGGACGAGGACAAGAGAAAACTTAAATATACATATACACATAGAGAAAAACAATACTAGGTGGGTCACCATGCCACCCATTTGGACAGGGATGTCTGTTACTAGAGGTGAAAGGACAGCGCTACATTAAACAGTGTCATCTTCCATGGGTAAAAACAGCACTTATGGAAGTCACAGTCCTTGCCTGCTTGGACATGAGTAGTCACTGGAGGTTCAGTCTGCTGTACTTCACACCGTGGCTCCACTGCAATGGCAGTTGATAGTTATGAGGGACTATACCACTGACGTTCTCTTCAAAGTATCGGAACAGTCTGTACCACCACACCCGTGAGAATGGGTTACTATGTGATATCTTCAATGACTGGGGGATAAAAAGAATAAAAAAACAACACAACAAAACACCTCTAAT